ATACGATACACATCTAAATACTGTGGTCACGATACGATATAGTAACGGTAGTTCTAAGCAAAGCGAATAGATTTGTTGAAAATTCTTAATGGCAATATTACAACAGGAAATAGACCTGGTCCAAAATGGGCATGACTTTAAAGTTTCACATAATTCACGTCTTTCGAAGTACATGCCGAGCTGGAGCTGTCACTCGCCATTTGGAAATGGATATGAGTGGACTAAATTAAGAAATGAAAACTCCGGGAAATATCGTAGGTGTATCGGGACCTCCCAAAAAATATTGTGTATTGTACCGTATTCAAAATATAGCGATATACCGTCGCAGGGTATCGTTGCAGTCCTATTGTTATTACACATTGTCAAATTTCTCACATGTGTAGACTGACACAAATATTGATGTGAGCAATTATCATTCCATAGCGTCATATCTCTGCTTAAATCATTCATCATCACCGTATTATTCTTCATTTTAAATGTTGTGGTGCTTTCTTTCAATTCTAAGTGTGCTAATTTTGGTTCTAGATCTAAAGAAATGCTATTTTTATTTGTTAGTAGAAGCATGTGCCAAAATATCAGGTAGCAATAATTTTTTACTTTTGTAGCAGAAAAAAACAACATTTTGTAAAATATTTTTTTAGACATTTCACTTCAGCTTTTGTCGTAAAAATATCCTTTGTTTTGTTTGTGTTTCCTTCATTTAGTTCGTTTTCTGTTTTTTTGTTTGTGTCGCAGGATGTGATTGTCAGTATGATCATGGCTGGGGCAATTAGGTACCATTTGACACTGAGGGACCAATGAGATTCACTCTGTACTTTCTACTGTTATGTGCTGATCGACTACGCGTGGAAAACGAAGAGACCAATATATGTACCTATTTATTCTCAGACAATTGTGATATCCATGTGCTGAACATCGTCATTGGTTAATGCTGTACGGAACAGCTTAAAGGACTGTAAATAACCACTCAACTGGAGCTGTTTGATAATTAGGACACGATTTATCCAGCTCAAAGGTGACGCTGTAATGTGATAAGTGATTATGTAATTCACCACTGTAGACCATAATGGACTTGTCCAGATCAATGCACGGGGGAGTCTACTTTAGTTGCATAGGGGTGAAAGGGTTAATTGTGTCGGGCTTAAGTTAACACGTCTGTCCTTTTATGGAACTTGTTTTTTTATGTTTAAGTAATCGGGAAAACTAATTTATTAGGATTTTCCCCCAAAAAATCGGTGTGTGGACTAATGAAGTTTCACTATGCATTGGTTTTGTATACAGCTATTAATAGTGACACCTGTATTTACCTGTGACCTAGTCGTTATCAAAGCAATTACACCTGGTGCCAGGGTTTATTCTTGAATTTGACCATTTTCACAGAAAATGCTTGTTTCCCAATATGACTGTCATCTGTGGACTAAACTCTGAGCATTGACATTTGGTAGGTGACCTTTTTGGTGGGGCCAGGGGAAGATGTAAAAAAACCCAGACATCAGCAAAATTTTAGTTAAAACTTAATAATCTGACAGTAATTTTCTGTCCTGTTAAGTTTCTGTCTGTGACTTTCAGTAGTGAGGTGTGTATAAGTACAGGGAGTTGTATCTAGATTATTGTCAGACCTTAGAAGTGAAAATTAGTACTCTTCAGCAGTCTTCTAATTACAAGAACAAAAATGTTTATGAATGTCATGCTATTGTGATTATTAAGTCACCTGAGCCCTAGGTTTGGGAAGATCAATCATTCTTCGTACAACATGCATTAACATTTTGTTATTTCGAACTAAAACTTTACAGATCAGATTTCCATGAAAGTTTATGGAAATAATCTTAATGTGGTCTTGAACAAGTGTTGTTATTTTCCAGAGCCTTACAACACCAATCTTAAAAGTTCCATGTTGAACCTGACCTCATGTTCTGCTGAAAGGAATGTAATGAAACTTCATAGGAATGCTCAAAGTGCATGGTCCTGACAAAAGGTTGTCTTTTGCATGTTGGTAAAGACGTACAAGATGGCCCCTATTTTCAAAATCTGTTTTATTACAAGTTTGACCACATCATTTGGCTGTTTTGAAGAGAGTTGTAAAGAGTCGACTTGTTTTACATTGTAATCGTCAGAACCAAATTTCTTGGCCGGTTTAGAAAGAGGCGTAATGACAGAATGCATTGTTAAGTTGATTATGACATCACAGTTCAAAGGTGACATGTGATGATGACATCCAATCAGATGTCCTGACAGAAAATAATGATTTATTTCGACAGATCACTGGCATATCTTGGCATTTCGGGAAATGTTGTAATCAGAAAATACATTGGTCTCCGATAGTATATCTTCCTATTTATGAAAGACATGGCAACTGTATAGAAGTATATTTGTAGTGTGTGTGTGTGTGTATACAAGTGTGACGCATTTGAATTTTTTATCTTACAAAATGTTTTGCTGCGATCCTTTTTTAGCTTGCATGATCAATCATGGGAGCTATTGCTATCGGCTTTGGTTAGTATTCGTCGTCTGCTTAGAACGTTTCAACTTCCAGTAGAACGACTGGTTGACTGACATCAAAAATATGAGACAAATATTCCTTATGAAGTCCTGACAAAGTGTTGTTACTTTTTTGTGTCAATCCTAAAATCAAGGTATTTTGTACATTATCTCTTGAGCAGATGCGAAGATTATCTTCAAAGTTTGGTGCAAATAGTCCTAAATCATTAAGTCAGATGAAACTCATGTGATCATGAGGCCCCAATGGACCTCTTGTTGTATTTTTTTTTTAGGGACACAAGATCTACAAAAATGAATACAAAATCAAGATTAAATAGCAAGCTTCAGCACGATCTTAAGTTGCTGTAATGGTGCTTGTATTTGCAGGTGTTCAAATGAACTACATTCCAACCTTTGCTTTTCCAGAGGTCAGCCTCAATTCCAATCTTGTGTTTTTCGTTCTTTTCAGATTCAACCATTGGTTGACCTCTTAGATAAGTGAAAGAGGCCCAGGTCACAAATGTGCATGTAAATGTTGGCTTCATCTGGAGAACTTTTAAATTAGAAAGCTATTGCTATTAAACTGTTTATTTTTGTAAAATAATCATTTAAAAAACTCATTAATCTGCTTATTTTTGTTGTCCATATTTTGTATTTGATTAAGCATTGATATAATTGGTAGTCAAGGAAGTGTCATGTTGTCTATATTATAATGCAGATCCAAAGTGAAACGTTCTTCTGTCGTCACTTTTCGTTGTCGATGACAATATCACACAATCTTTGTTCACGTTGACAATTAATGAAGTTTCGTTATTACTCAATTAATAGACAATGTGTAGAATTAGATTTGACTTTGATTTGATCTTCAAAGTATGACGTTCTGTATTGTTTTATCTTTCAACTCAGAACTGTCAAATCTTTTAGATGTGATGTTGATGTGTGCAATGTAATTTGTTGGTTGTTTGGGGGTGAAGTGTTTTTCGACTGTAAAACGTAGCTACATGTAGTTAGGTGACTGGCACACATATCTAAATACATAATGCCCTAGGTTGTGACCGGTTAGAACATTAACTTTCGACACACGTAATCATCTTCTTCTTTTTTACAATCAATATAAAATACTGTGTATTCTGCTGTCACTTCATTTATTTAAAAAACCTATAAACGTGTTGGAGTTTTTATTGATGGCTGCTCAAATTACTGGGCTGCTGTACTTTTGTGTTCATTGCATGCGTTTCGTTAAATAATACTCAGCTGGCACGGAATTTTGGTAAAATACAAACTAATTGTCTAATTAACATACTAATATCTTTCCCATCTTCTCAACATTGAACAGAAGGTTGTTTTGATGATATGAATATGGTATAGATTGATAAAAATTGTCCGCAAATTAATTTACTAAATCCTAATCCAATCATCGTTTATGGCTGAAACTTTTTGTTCATAACATGATGAACATAACATTGGAAGGTCAACATTCAGCATGTTGATACATTTCAGTCCTGATGAAATCGTAACTGATACTATATATTAAATTGTGTGGTACAGAAATGGGCGTCATATAACGAACATGTTTTTCATCACAATCATGAAAATGTGTATCAAGTTAAGACACAACGTTCTGAGTTCAATGGGGTCAAACTTGTCCGTGACAAAATGCTGGAGATAGCAATCCATTGCTTAATTTTCTTATAGAAATAATGGATTACCTTGCCGGCAGCTCCGGTCAGACAACTTCTTTTTACGTACAAATTATAACTTCATCATGATGTTATGTTTTATCAATGTATAATTCACCATTTTCTTGATCATTAAACTTGGTTATACTGAAAATCTTGTTGTTTTTTAGTCTATTCAGATGGTGTTTGTTGTCTCTAAGGTAAAACAGCTGTGTTGGTCTCAGAATCGATGATTGTCTACTTGGATTAAAAATTTCAATGGATGTGCTTTATAAGCAAACTTTTCTGAATAATAGCAGTTGTTACAAAGGATTAATTAAAACGAAAAATAAAGGATACTCAACGCTGTAAGAACAGTATGTGATGTTAACTTCTCGTCTACATGTTTTAGCCTGCTATGCTGTCGTCATCAGACCTTTGATGGCAGCATAGCAGCTGGCTATAACATGCAGACGAGAAATTAACATCACAAACCGTTCTGGGGGTGTCGAGTACAGTATCCTTTATCAGCCCACCATCTGTCGATGGTGGGCTATTCAAATCACCCTGCGTCCTTGGTCCTTGGTCCGTGGTCCGTCCGTCTGTGGTCCGTCCTTAAACAATTCTTGTTATTGGTATTTCTCAAGAAGTACCCAAGGGATCTTTCTCAAATTCTATATGTGGGTTCCCCTTGCTCCTTAGCTGTGCTCAGCAATTTTTGAGACTGATCGGATAAACAACATGGCCGACAGGCAGCCATCTTGGATTTTGATAGTGAAAGTTTGTTATCACTACTCCCTGGAAGTACCAGAGGGATCTTTCTCAAATTTTATATGTAGGTTCACCTTGGTCTGTAGTGATCAGATAAACAAAATGGACGACAGCCAGCCATCTTGTATTCTTTCTCAAATTTTATATGTAGGCTCCCCTAGGTCCCTAGTTGTGCATGTTTACTTTTGAGACTGATCATAAAAACAAAATGGCTAAAGGAAGAACTAAACAGATTCTTCTCATATTCAGTGATCGGTTCTATTTCTTTCACATTAAGTACTGTACTAGTAAATATGTGAAATGACAACCTCACTTTGAAGGTTGTCTTTTATACACAGCAGTATTAAGTTTAGATCAAAAGTTACCTCAAGGTGCATTTACTGTTAACATGACTCGATCAAATAGATTAGAAAAGAAGGGTTATTATCAGTACTTATTGAGAAATAGCGATAACCAACATTCACTGTCAAAATCTAAGATGGCGGCCTTTCGGCCATTTTGTTTATCTGATCAGTCTCAAAAGTAAATATGCACAACTAGGGACCAAGGGGAACCTACATGATGATGGTGGGCTAAAAAGTTATAAATGTGAAAAATTTCATGGACAGATAATGTGTCATTGCTTAAGCCAGGTGAGCAAAAAAACGTATTCTGGCATTTATTAAACATGAATACTTTTTTAGCCCACCGTCATTAGAGGTTTACATCATGTTGCGATTTGCATATTCCAATTTAAGGTGAATCTAAAAATCAAGCATAGATCAAGCCTTCTCAAAGATCATGTTGTAACTTGATTTCCATGATCTCCTTGCTGCCTCGTGCTTGTTGAAGAACCGAACAGAGAAACGAAGAAATAAGTTCCTATGTACTATCAACATTCCAAGATCTCCTGGAATTCAGTCTTGCACACTTTGTTACCGTACTTGTCTCAATGAAAATAAAACGGCAAAATCAATCAATCTAATACCACTTTATTTTTACTTGTTTATACAATATCACATAATAACATAACAATCGTCCAAACTGATATTAGTGTCGATTTAAATTTCATACATACCATGCATCTATAAATAAATTTCAACAAATTAAATACCTAGTAATAACCATTATACCACATAATGCTACGTATCGATGCCCGATCAATTCAATATATCCTGTAGCACTGTATCTCCTTTACTTATATTGGAGGCGATTACCATATAATGGATATTTAAAAAAAAAAGGTTTTCACCCCACCCCCCTCTTTTTTTTTAACTTTCTCAACACTAACAGACTTTCAGTTCTTTTTCAAATGTTTTTGCAAATACAATATTACCTGTCTGAACTATCCCTGCTTAACCCACCTGTTTACTGGCTATAATGTCTGGTCCTGGCATTTTCTCTCTTAACTATGGCATGACAACCAAGTCTACTCTCTAAACCAGCGTTTCAACAATAGTTCAATTTCTCATTCCAGCTAGCCTTTCATCTGTGGGATATCCATGCAAATTATTGTCTTGTCTTAGAGCTGATCACATATATTGCTTGTTAGGTTGTCAACCATGTATCTTATCAGAATCTGTTCGGATCGATTTGATTAAAGTCACCGACGTCAAAAATGTACAATCTCTTTGAAATGTGAATTATCGTAATTATTGAATATTAAAATTGATTATATTCCTGAACTTCTAACATCAGTGCCATATTTTAACATACAATACTTCCCCATAACATACTTATTTAAAATGTTGATAACCAACATCACCTACACTGTATAAATCAGACCCTGTATAAACCGGCCAAATGTTTTTGTTCCAGGAATGTCCAGTTCAGACAGATTACAGAGTAATTAAATGGCAAAAAATGGAAATAATGCATACCTCTGAACAACACCAGGGTCATATTCGTTTTGCCTTGCAAGGCCTGCATAAACTTTTGCAGGTCTGCAAGGATTTATACCCGAAAATGTTACATTTAAAAAGGGACAAACCGGTTGTTCCGCATAAACGAGCAGGCTCCTGGCATTATACCTACAACTTTTTGCAATAGTAAAAGTGGGAAAATCAGGGGCCAACTATAAATGTGGAAAATGTCTTGGATAATATCACAGGGAATGTAAACCATCTTGGATTTTCAAATCCTTCATCAAGAAAAAACACTGTATTTGGGTCATGAAAGTCTATACTCCTACTAGGTTCTTGTCGGAGGGTCATAATAGGGTCTGTCCTATCAGGTTTGGTCAAAATCTGAATAGACTTAAAAATGCCTTAAAATGTAAGATTTTTTTAAATTTTAAATATTTCACCTATTATTAACCTCTACAACCACCATCAGTTATCACATTGAGCAAATAAATAGAAACTATCATAATTTCTGTGAAATCCCAAGTTACAGATCTAGGTACCCAAAATTGATTACTGAACCATCATTTTATTTATTCATTAAAAAGATCATATCAAAGGCAAAATATTGATGGGTTTTCTAACAAAATTTATCACCCGAGACTCACTCAAGATATTGAAAGAACACTCTGATGTCGCCAATTAGCATTTCTGGATTTCGCAAATGCCAGTACCCAAATGAGATCAACTGGCCGCACCATGTAAACTGAACAGTACCAAACCCAACTCACTGCTTCAAATTAACAAATAAAATTACATAAACAACCAAATTCTGTATACTGGGATTTTTTTTACGCAGTTTAAATTGCTCCCTTTTTCACCCTCAGTAATCGGGGTAAATTTATCATTGAATCAAGTATTAGTAAATGATACAAATTATACATAGAAATTGAAAGTGAAGGGGCTAAATTAACACTGGGTAATATGGATTTTACTGGTGAAGGACAAAATGCCCCGGTATACAGTAAAAGGATACGGGAATTTTTTTTTGCCCTTTGACATTAAAATCCATATTTTCCCCAATATTAAATTTGGTCTTCTCATTTAATTTCTATGTATGTACATAATGCTGTTCTAGTAGCCTCTGGGCTGTATGCAATCTTTGTTAAAGAAATAAAGAATTATATTTCATTATGCTGTTCCCTAATGTAATGATAAATTCGCCCTCATTACGGAAGGCGAAAAAGGCAAAAATTAAACCGCAGCGAAAATTTACCGGTATACAGTTGTTGACCTAAATTTTAATCATAACTGCTTATATGATTTTCTGAATAACATTTGAAATGAACATATCTAAATGCACAACATAGTCCATGCGAAGCCCTCAACAAGAGGCCCATCGAGCCTGTATCGCTCACCTGTTTATCTTCGACACAGTTTTGAAATGTTTCCCCTAAACTTGAGACAATCTAGAAGACATGTAAAATGTATTAACTTTCCAAAGAATGCAGAAAAGTACCACTTTGACAGGGCAATGACATGAGCATTTGCGTTAAGTTAAAAATGGATTGATATTAAAGCAAGTAATCTTGCAGAAACCAAAGAGTGGACAGACAGACCCTTCCTATACAATACTAGTTCCCATACAAATTTTGATAGGCATACAAAAATTTAGAGCTAGCTACAGGCAAAATATAAGATCCTGATGGTTCTGGAGAAGTCATTGAAAAAGCTGATGACAGACGCTATGCCCTAGCATAACCTTGATCTGGCAGTTTTTTGTGCCAGATCACGAAAAAATTGTCCGTTTACAGACTTAAATGGTTTGGTAGGGTGTCCCTTGTTTAAGTGTAGCTTTCCTGTGACTATGTTTGCCTAACGCTAGCACTATAGGGCCAGCAGATATATGTATCAGACTAGTATATTTGTATGTACATGTAACTATGGAGATTGGAATGATGAACCCAGGGTCAGTCAGTAAACAACAGATCTTCATCCCGACCCTCCTCCAACAGATTAGCAGCATCCTCCCGACTTATTTCCCCCCTTGCTTTCCGTTCCCTCAATTTTTCCTCAGCAGCAACCTTCATTTTCTTCTTCTTTTCCTGAATCTTCTTCAACCTATGAAAACAAACAGGCATAATTTTCGGTGTGTTAATAATCCCAAATCAACAAGACAATTAGGCGAAGTATAGTCCCCCACTGAATAGGAAATGCACAGATGATAAATTCGTGCAGGAACTAATTCTAAATATGTTTGAGAGACCCACCGTAGTCAATAAGGAATAGTGTCAGTGCTACTATTGCAAGTAAATCTGGTGGATGTTTACTGGCTAGTGGTACCGATTTACTATTAAATTGCATCTGGTGACACTATGTATTCTACAGCGTTTCATTATTTGATTGCATTTGGTGGTATAAATGTGAATATCACTAATTTTAGCAAGCGATATCAGAACCCATACCCCAAGTATGAAGTTCCAGTGACTAGTAGTGCAGGAGATAGAGCCCAGACAATCTTTTTCTTTGATGTAGGTCAAAGGTCAAATGTAGGTCAGAGTGACCTACTTTTGACATATTCCAGGGGTGCAGAGAGTGAAAGTGAACGTAACCCTTGGATATCGGGGATGTAAAGCCTTCTGGATAAGCCATTACGTAATATTGTATACAGGGAAACCTTTGCCCAGTCAAAGTTTTGCCCTACTCCAGTAAAATCCATATTCACCCAGCAATCATTTGATTCCTACGTTTAATGTGTTGTTAACCAATGTTTGCTGTGATGATAAATTCACATTCATTACAGAGGGTGAAAGTTAAACAGCAGCAAAAAAAATCAGTATGCCTATATGAAATCTTTATGTTTAATATTTCAACCAAAATCAAAGCAAATTTGAGAGTGTATCTTTAATATTCTTCCCTACAGAATGAATACAGAAGTATCGCGTACTGGTAAATAGCTACTTACCTGTAAAACTCTTCACGCTCCCTCTCATCCAGTTCTGTTGTAATATATGCAAGTGTACGCTCAATACGGGGGATAATTACTGAAAAAGGCAAGTGCAAAGTCATGTTAACAAGCTGACACTACAGGCTAAATTTCATTACACCGATCAATCTTTCGTTGGATTATTATAACTTGTTTTACTCATGAATAGGACTTGTCAATTTATTTGAACAGGCAAATAAGTTAACGTAGCAAGCTACAGGCTTATTTGGTATTATTGTGCAAAAGAATCTGTAGTACAAGATAAATATTGTTTATATACACCTCATGAATATTTAGAAGTTGGATAAATAGTAGATAAATGTTGTTTTAGTACATTTGAACCTTTAGTCAAGGATTAAATATTGTTCATCTAAACTGCATGACTGTTGTTTAAATATTTTAGTACATTTGATCTTTTTGACCTAGAAAGTGGGTCAAGGTCATTCAGTCAGTCATTTAAGCAACCATTGTAGCCCTTGATCCAGGCATGGTAATGGCCAGATCGCATCACCCTGGGCATTTAGGGTATTGAGAAGAAGTTGTACAGTGTTTGATTGGCGCACACTTTCCTGTTTTTGTATACTAACCATGTTCGATGGCGTTTACTCTCCTGTTTGTAATTTTTATGACCTCGTCCAAGGTTACAAAAGATGTCTGTAGGGAAGCAAGTTCTACAAGTAATTTGATCGCTGTGGCATAGTTTTTCTTAAGTCTGTCAATTTGCTGTCCACCCCTTGATAAACCAGTCAGCTCATAACCTGAAATTAACATTAGATTGATGTCAGTTGATGTAATAAGTACATATTATTGTGATACCATCCTGTTCAGTCTTCATCATGTTCTGAAGTGTCAAACATCCATTTTATTAAAATGTCAATGTTAGATTAATACAGACAAAACAAAAGAAAATACTAACCTCTTTCATCAATACAGTAGTATAGTACATACCTACACATCACTAACAACCTCTGTCCTCAGTACAGTAGTATAGTACATACCTACACATAGCTAACAACCTCTGTCCTCAGTACAGTAGTATAGTACATACCTACACATC